AACCGGAAGCCAGGAGGTATATTTATTCATTTCCAGATGAAAGCTGTTTATAAATGTACAAAAGATAATCTTGAAGCAGAACTATAAGATCCATTCTAATATTTGGTGCGTATGAATACTATACACATTGAAAATCACCCCCACACACACCTTCCTACCTTGTATCACTATTGGAATGTCATTAGGAAATTAATACATGCCCCTAAAACATCAGTCATGTATTAAACACAAACACTTAGCTTGATGGGTTGGAATCTGCTAGGTTCAAAAAACAAATAGACACAGCAAGTTATATTATGAGCCATGCTGGCACAGTGGTTAGAAAGCAGTACTGCAGGCTACCTGCTGATTGCTGGCTGCCTGCAATTTGGCAGATTGAATCTCACCAGGCTCAAGGTTGACTCAGCCTTCCATCCTTCCGAGGTCAGTAAAATGAGAACCCAGATTATTGGGGGCAAGATGCTGACTCTGTAAAACCATTTAGAGAGGGCTGTAAAGCACTGTGAAGCAGTATATAAGTGTAAATGCTATTGCCATTATCAGGATGATTTCCTAGGAGACAGAAATTGCCCATCATTCTTTCCCAGAGGAGACGTGGGAGACTCCTTTCTTTAAACTAATATCCTAATATTTCAGTGTGGAACAGCAGAGGATATAATGGAGAAACAGAAACTTGGGATGCAAGCATGTTGATGACAAGCGATTTTATTTTGCAAAACAATCACTATACAGCAACAAATACAACTGCAAGTTGGATTGAAAAACATGAACTACCTACCACCAGTCATTCAAGAAATGCCTCTTTTATGATAACAGGCTCTAGAATTACCAGGAAAGGAAAGAATTCCACAGGCTTTCTCATAGCCTACAGTATATCTTAAGAGAAAGAGAGAAAGAAAGGAAAAATCCCAGCACTCTGAAAATGATTTTGCATTTCTCTTTGCTAAAGTTGAAGTGATTGCTAGGTTTGACCTTACCAAATTTGCAAAATAATATATATTTTTATATAAGGAACTTTGTTTGATTATTTTATTAGTAGTGATCAATACAGTCTCCTCTAAATTGTGCTGTTGGTGATTTCCTGGTTTTGTTTTGTTTTTTGCAACAATATAGAAGCAATTTGCTATTTTTTTTTTCAGTAAGCATTTCAGGAATTGTTTAGATCTAAAAAAAAGCTATTGATGACCAACCAACTTTGCATAGCGGTCTTCTTGAGGCCCAGCAACTCCCATTTCCCCCATTCTAGGGAGCAGCAATACTGTACTCAGTATGTCTTGTGTTGCATTCAGTTGTCCATCATAAATCACAAGCCTGGATTTATCTGATAATTTGGTTTACTATTTCATTCTTAATATATTTGGAAGGAATTTTAGTGCCTAGTAAAATAGAAAAACCCCTAGCATGTCTGTTGTGACATATATATTGATCCTTTTGGATATTCTCTTGGCAAAGAGACTCATTTGCAAACCGCCAGAAGGAAGGGGAAGTTGTCATTATAAATGCATATCATGTAGGTGTGTATGTGTACAGATACACGCGCACACATTTACACTTACGTACCATCCAGTAAGCAAGGTGACTGCTGGTTTGGTCCAGAGTTGATAGAAACAACTTCCATAGCCTTTACTGTACCCTTCATGCAGTGAGATGCTCATCAATGTGTGACAACTGGCTCTGCTAGCTGCTACCAAACAGCTGATCAGTGTATTAGGCATTGCCGCGTACTCTCCTCTTATCTGGCTTGCAAAATTCTGGAAAACTTAACAATCAGTTCTAGCAAACTGGTACAAGCCAGCTGCAGCATACCACTGCCTTTGTGCCTAGGCTCACACAACACTACAGTATTGTAGGCAGAGGAGAGAGGGGATCCTGCCTTGTTATGGATCAGCTTTAGTACATAGCTTTGGTTATAGACTTTTCCCTCACCTTTGCTGCGAATTGCTAAATGCGTATTAGATTATTATACTTGACCACAGAGCTTACTAGTCAAAGTTATTGTGTCATGCCTTAACAGCTTTAATTATCTTTAATAGGGAACAAGCAAATAAGAATTTCTGTAGAGATGGTCCAATGTTTTGTGTGACCATGTCCCTTACAGGGCTTACATTGTGCCGTTAGTTTTTAAATCGAGCCTACAGTTGGCAGTTAAAGTTTCAATGGGATTACTAGCCAGGCAATGCCCGCCCTTGTCCCCAGTAAAAATCTAGAGTCCTGTAACATAGTACATGCATTTCTTATATTACAGCATGGTCCCCTTCTGGCTCTTCAATTTGTATAAATTCATCAACTTCTGCTATTCTTTCTATGGAAAGACAATTATGATTAAAAGGACTTAGCTTCAAGATAAGATAAAACTGCAACATGGAATTAATGACTTTGGACACGTATGCTTGGTAAGCAACTTTATCATCTAGAATGTGTTTATATCTCAAAAAAGCAGATTACAAAATAGTCACAGATTAAACACTGTTTTGACTGGCTGACACTTAGCATTGTCCACCTCAGGTTCAGTAGAGCCTTAGATCCTGTTTTGCTCTAAGATTGGAAAAAGACATAAAAACTCAGAGAGGCTTCTGCAGGAACCAACAGCACAGAGTCAGAGTGACAACATTTCATTAAAAATACTGCTCTTTTTGACTTTTTAATTTTTTTAAAGCAGCGGCATGGAGCCCACAGCAAGATTGGCTCTCTTGTTCTGATCCAGCAGGGGAATTCTTATATCTGTAATCAATGTTGTGTTTGAACTTCATAGAGTTATTCCAAATATCATAACAATCACAGAGCAAAACAGTCCTCTTGACTGCTGGCTAACTTTAAAAGAAAAAGCCTACACAACTGCATTATAAGCAGTAGGATCTTAACATGAGGCAGCTTCTAAGATGTAACCTATCAGGCTATTTATGTATTAGTCTATCCTCATATTATCTGAACAAGTACACAGATTTACTTGTTCCCATTCATTTACAAATAAGAGCTTGACATTAAAGGCTCTATTTTAAAATTAGGATCCAATTTAACCCTATACCTATTACAAAACAATTCCAGAGAAGTGCAAAGAATCATATTTGTGCATCTAATAAATTCATCTAATGAGAGCCAGCTCCATGCATCTTATGAGATTGTATGCAGTGATACATTTGTTAGCTTTTATGATGATATGAGCCTCTTATTTGTTTGCATTGTTGATGTTTTTCTTTGAAAATAATTGAAGCATCATTCTTGAGACACACTAGGTAAATTAAAATGTTTAAGAGGTAGCCCTTGTCCAACAGCTTCCAACACACAAAGCCATCCTAATGAACCATTTACATACAGGTCAGCTTGAGAACATGCAAATGTAATATAGGTGATTTTAAGGAAAATGCCATAAAACTGCAGGGTAAAATAGGGAACAATTATCATGTAGTCAAAACTAGCATATATTACATGAGTAGACGGTGGTCCACTTATGCATCACATTACCAGACCATCTTGCGTATTCTTTTAATTTCCATGTAGCAATGGTGGAAATCCCATACACTCCAAGTTAAGTGCCTTTTCTCTTATTAGAAACACTGTCGTATACTTTTTATATTGTTTCTGAAGATTATCAGTCCATCACCTTGGTTATCCTACCTAGGGAGCTTACATATTAGGAATCAATATATGTTATGAATGCAACTCTCTAGAGCCTTGTTCTACTGAGGTGCCCAAGTACATCAATGCAAAGATGTAATTTGTAGACATGGAATAACTTCTGAGAAGACTCCTTGTTGTTTCTTGGAATTTCAACTTTAGCAAAAGAAAAAATAAATAATTTAAAAATATCACTTGTACTTGTGTTTTTTAAGGTAGAACAAAATCATTATTCTAAATGATATTTTTAAAATATTGAATCCAAAACTATAGTTTTGGAGAGAGAGGGAGGGCAGGAAGGCAGGAAAGCAGGAAGAAAGGAGGAAAGATAAGTAATACATAAATTCAGTAATGGCAAAGAAAACACAGATAGGTAGAAAGAAAGAAGATTTTTTTTCAGTATCACAGAAGAGACTTGCATCTGGCACTAAAACAGGGTCACATTTTGAGATGTTACAGAAAGCAATTTCATGCTAAACAATCTTTTTTTTTTTGTATTTGTAAAAGGTTGAATAGGGAAATAAAATCCCTGCTAACATCTACTGTTACAGACCTAAAATTGCAACACCAAAGGGTGCAAGAGACACAGATACTGTGAATAAAGAATTAGAATATTCAAGTATGAGGGGGGGTATCACAAATGGCCACACAGATATATATATATATATATATATATATATATATATATATATATATATATATATATATATATATATATATATATATATATATATTGATAATACTGTATCAAACAGATGGGAGAGGACATGAAACCAGTAGTGAAGACACAAACCTAGATGCTTAACTAATATTCTAATCTGACATAACTCCATAGCTTAATTTCAGTAACTGTTTTTAAAAAGAAAAAAAAATGTTGCTTCCCCAGTACAGCTCATAAGATTTTTCCCCACTACTTACTTAATTATTAGTTAAATAATTTATTGTAATCAGCTATACACTGACATAATCATCCAACTTCCACAACGTTAATAACTTAATTGCCTCTTTCTTCTACCCATGTATAGAAAATAACCCCACCCTTTCTGAAGTGTTGACATCACTATATTTGCCCTTCTGCATGGTCCTCAGACTCTCCTGTTTAAATTAACCTGTTGATAAATTACAAGTGGAGATGCTTCTTAATTCCATCCATCAACAAAACGGTCAAATGAGCAACTCAAGGGATTGAACAAGGCTCTTCAAAAAGTAGTGGATGGCCTTCAGGCACATGGAAGGTCAAAATGCATTGTTATCATAGTACATACTCCATGCAAGACAGAGCAGAGCAACAATAATTGTCCAATGTAATATACTGCAATTGTACCCATAGAAAAGCCAAGATCTTCCTGCTGTAATTGGAAATCAGGCCAGTTTCTGCATCTATATGGATCTTTCCCCCAGTTTTTATTTTATGATTACTACAGTCTTGGGATGTGACTTAATTTTAGACATAGTAAAGAATGAATGTTAACACCTGCTCAGAGCCCATTCCTGGCAAGAAATCATGCCTAAATATTGTAACTTCAAACACTGCTAACAAAGCAAATTCATAAGCCCTGTTTAGCAAGGGCTGCAGTGACATCTTCAGCCAGGGTGGCAAGTTGAGGAGATTCAAGCAGGTTGATACTGCCAGAGGAGGAGACGTTGCTGAGCCTCCGAGGGGAAGCCACACTTGATCGGCCAGGAGATTGGGTGATGATTTCAGCGCCATGGTCCACACGGGCCCTTGCATGCTCTCGGAAATTGAGTTTCTGGCTGTCAATCTGTGCAAGGAAGGAAAGTGCAAAAATAAAATGCAGGAACTACAGAGGTATGAAGCTCCCCTGAGACCAATTTCACTTTAATTTCCTTGGAAAAATTCTCTCAATATTTTCTTGGGTGGCAATCTTTCCTGGTCAAACTTCAAAAGCAGATTACAGTTGTGTCCTTTGCCCAGCCTCTTTGTGAAGATGTCCTAATTTCATCACCAGAATTCTCCTACTGCAGAACTTAAATGAAAATGAAGATATGTGCAAGAATCGTGTGGGAAATGTTGAAGTATAAGTTTAGTTTTGTTGATCAGGACTTTCCAAATTAATTGAAAGATAGATTCATTCATGACAGATTCCCTGGGCTAAAATAATTTTTTAAAGATAATTTGTACTCTTTGGACATTCTGTATACTCCTTTTAAAAAGATTGAAACATTGATTTAAATAATATTTTAACTTTTTTGTTTAAACCATAAAACAAATACTCCGGCTTATACAATGCAGTTAAAGGGAACCCTAAGGGTGGAGGGAGGCTGTGGAATGCAAGTGAACTGTCTGTTGCTGGAGAGACGTTATATAACAAGGCCACGTAATGAAGAATGTTTTGACCGAAGCAGACAGCTTTTCCCAAAGCAAAAGAATTGAATTCAATTGGTGAACTATGTACTGTGGGTTGCCCAGAAGGGAAAAGGGGAGTTAGCTATGTAGGTTTTCATGGGAAAAATCCCAGATCTGACTTTGTTTCTGCTGTACTTAGATGGATTTTTCAATAAAGCTACTCTTGGTTAACCTAAAGAGATGGGAGTTTCTTTTGTTGAATGTGTCAAATGGGACAGTTGACAGAAACAAAATCAAACACGCAGTGAAGATAGAGTCTGAAAGTTTTTGTACATAAACTAGTGGTCACAGTGTAAAGCTTTGACTTCAGAGAGGAGGCAGGAAATCTCTGGAACTTGGATATGGCATAAGATGGGACTTTTCATCCTTGGGAATCTCCCTGCTCTTGCAAGTCTCCTCTGAAGGAAGAGCTAAGCAGTTAACTCAAGCCTAATGGAGGACACCATAAAGTAATAGGAACCTCTATCTCTATGCAAATCATTGTCATTTTTACCTATAGGACTATGAAGAACTCCAGAATATTAAACAACTCCAAAATATTAAACAAAAGAATAGATGATCCATTAAAATAATATATTGATAAGCTTTCATGTCTATAACCCTTGATGTCTTACCTTAATATTACCTCCTCCAGGCACATGGTGAGCATTGTCAAGTGAGCCAACCTTGGCTTGAGCCTTTTCTTTAAAATCCAGTTTCACACTTTCGATTTTCACTCGACCCCCTCCTATAAGTTATGGCAGAAGGGAAAAATACTTGAAAAGAGCGCAGTTCTTCTGGATCTAGGATTTAAATAGCATTTAACCCTACTGTGTAACTGATTATTATGCACTTCAAACTGAAAAAAAAAAATACTATATGATGAGAACACGACAAAAGAGAAATAAACATATACACACAATCCACATAATTGTAGACAAAACATTTATAGCAGTGGGCCTCATGACTAGAAAATATGTCTATTATTAGCTAAAATGAGATATATCTGCCATACAAATGGAATCTGAGATATACAGGAATTGGTGAATTTTCACAGATTTGTATAACATAATAAATCAGTTTGTGGTTTGGTTTACTGCACTCTAAACCCAGACCATGGTTTCATTGTGGTTAATAAGGAAAACTTTAACTATATATTATAGCAATGGCTTGGTTAAGACTATGTGACCTTCACCATACTTCAGCATGTCATTTAACTTCAGCCTTCATAAAACTGAAGTGCTTCTGCAGCACTGCCTCTACAGCTTCTGGGCATTTTTGGACTACACCTCCTTGCAACCACACCAGGTTGATGTGATCCTGATTGGACTAGGCTGTTCTCCGTTAACAAAAAGCAGGAACAGTGAATTGGCCAGTTAACTCCCAGATGGCTGGGACACCAGTGAAAGATCTTTGTTCGGAATGATTTGGGATAACATCCTGGTGGGAATGATGATGAGGCCTATTTGGCCTCTGCACTAACTTTAAAAAGGACATTGAAAAGTTACATGGAGATACTTGTAAGAGTAATGATAGAGGTTTTTATTTAAAATATTTTTTGTAATATCTTTAGCCGCCAAGTCATACCTTGCCCTATTTTAACTAATAATCAACAGATATTCTGCCACAATTTTGCTAATTTCTGTCACCCCTTTGAAGTGTGACATACGTAATATGAATATGCTTATGCCTACAAATAGTTACATTTAAACAATGTTTGGAAAACACCCAGAAAAAAAGTGGGAAACACTCATGACAAACATCTGTCCTTCCTTTTAAAACAACTGCAGTATAGCCATTTTTAAAATAATTTTTCTTTGAATATTTCAGTATTTTACTGCTATGAAAGATATTCTTCCTACCAAGTTGTTTTATATACAATGCTAGCAATGCAACTAATGTAACTTTCAGGAGAAACAGATTTTTTTCTGAAATTAAGGAAGCAGAATTCACATGTAAACTATATAGTTACTTTTATACTTTGATCATTATCTAAAATTTATAATTAAAATACAAGAGATTAATGAGTTTGTGTAAATGAAGCGCTGCACTAATAGATAAGTTTAATGTACTCTGAAAATAAAATTATGCAGTTTCTTTATTGGTCTCCAATAATTCCAAGTTTCAAAAAGATTCTCTGCCAAGATGAAATAATGGTGATGTTGGGCTATGCACTGCCTCAGATTTTAACATAAAAGGTTGCCTTTGTGGTCCCAGGAAAAATGTGGCTGCTTTAAAAGCAATTTCAAACAGGAGTTCCATTAGTTCCCCTGAACACTCTGAAGCACTGGTTTCTTACCTTGCTTCAACTACCTCTAGTGACCTACTTAATTTGGGAGAAGTCCCTTTAACTCTAGTCTTATCACTTTGGGGAAAGACACCAGCTCCATTCTTCTTGGAATGACTGAAAACCATGTAAGTTAAACAGTATGGGCCAACATGTTCCCAGCAGGTATGAAATATATTTATATATATTAGTTGCTAGTGTTGGGAAGTTCTTCACCACTAACACTGAAAACTAAACAGGGTGGTGTATCAACATCTCCAGTTTTGATGTGGTCCCAGTATCTTGTTGGGAAATGATTATTCTGAATAGACTGTTCAAGCACCTCTTTGTTTTGGTTACAAGTCTGTAATTTTGGTTGTCTCCCATATTCCTCTTAACTTCCAAATTCAATATAAAGTGCCAGCTTTAACATATAAAGGCCTTTACAGTTTGATGCCACTTCTTTCCTGTTCAGTTGGCACAGCCATTTGAATCATGCCAAGAGAAGCAGCTGACTGTCCTCCATTTTGGGGAGGGTAGATGGGAGCTTAGAGGCATCTTTCCCTACACTCACCCCCAGAATGGCTTCCTACCCGAGGTTCAGTTGGGCCCAACGTTAACTGTCCTCCAGAAATAGCTGAAGAGAGATTTCGGAGAGCACTGAGGTGTTAATGCCAGATATTGGTTTGGGGTCTCTGTGTACTATATATTTTATTTTAACTATATTTAACTGTATTAACTATGTATAACTGTACTATATTTTAACTATTAACTATTTAACTTTAATTAAGCCACTACGACTACTTACAAGTGCCCCATGATATAAATTAGATGATAGATAGATGGATGGATGGATGGATGGATGGATGGATGGATGGATGGATGGATAATTTACAACTTAAGTTACTGCAATGCTAAATATATGCAATGCTAAATATATGCAATAAGTATGTTTTTAATGTTGAAAATGTGTACAATCAATTACTTCATGTTGGTTTATCTATTTTAAAAGGCTTAGTAAATTTGACTCCAATGATTTATCTGCAATTATCTGGTTTTACTGGAAAAGGGAAATTTCCTTATGAATTATACCTACCAGGTATATTGTTTATATGATTTTCTCAGCACACATTTGACCAATTACCAGACTGGTGTAGTCAACCTTTCTCTAATTTAGTTCCATGTACTTCAATGATGTAACGCAGGACATAATTCAGAAACCATTGTAAAAGTTTCACAATCATAAATTCCTCAAAGAATGCACTGAGAAGTAATTACGACCAATCTACTCCCTCGAGGCTTTTTGTTGTGAGTGCTCTTGTGCTGCTCATCTTCTTCCCATCTTATTTATGTGTGCTGGGCTGATGGATAGGCTTTGCTAGAGACCTCCTTCCTTTCCTTTCTCCTACCCTGCCATGTAGCAATGCAACAGACCAGATATTAGGGAAATGGAGGATGCAGGTTTCCCCAATAATCCAGACATGGTTTTGGAATCAGAGTGCCTAAAAATGAATTTCTGGAGTTTACAGAATTCCATTTCCCCTCTGAAAAATCTTAGCATTACCTGGCCTATGACGGATATTCTTCAGGGAACCACATTTAGAAGTCACATGACTCAAGTCTATCTTCTTGGTTACAATTTGCACCTGTTTAAAATATACAAAATATATCTGTATGTTTATAGAGATCTATAGACACAGAAAAAGATGCATTTTATATCTGTAGGAAGAAGAAATTAAAATAGAAAATGTAAGTATCAAGTTTGGAAAAAGCAGAATATTAGAAAGAAATAATAATGGTACAAAGAAGAGAATGATATCCAGGTTAATACAGCAAATATCCCATTGAAGAGTAAATTAGTGGAATAATTTAAAATCTCTTTCATTGATAGGTAAGGTTATTAATCAGGAAAGTGTGATTATTTTTAAAGATGAAGGTAAGATTTTCCTCAGTGTTGTGTGTTGAAGTGTGTCTTTTAAAGCTTCCATTTTCCTTAGGTAATCAAGGATGTTTTATTTTCATTGCCCGACTTTCTGCTCAGGACAATTTTTTCTTCCTAGACTATTTCATAAACTTCCTTAGCTCCTGAGAAACATTAGTGGAAATATTGTCGTATAATTTTGACATGTCAAATATGTTAAAATATTTAAGAGGTGTTCACTAGATTGCTTGGAATAAGTTTACTGAAAGGGTCAAACCATATAATTGGGCAAATGACTCAATATATGCAAGATAGCCCTAGATTCACATATCTCCCACTGTGAAGTGAAAGCATCTTACAACTAGTTAACATGCATTGTTCACTGGCTATGAATGCCATCTGGTAAGATTAGGACCAATGAGTGATCAATCCATTTCTCTTACCTTTGAATCAATGACAATACACCTGACATTTTAATCAAGCAATGGTAATTTTCTGTTGACATCATTATTTCTTCAGAACTCAGGACTTGTAAGACTCTTTTTCATTTTGCTTTCAAGCTTTGATTAATGATGGAGTTCAGAAGAACCAAAGCAATTAGTCATTACATCAGTGCTTGTAGAACAGGATGCTTTGTGAAGAAAACCTGACTCTTGTCCTTCTGAGTGAAACCTTTGTTTTTTTTGAGGAAGATATACCACTCAGCACACAAAGCTGATGCATTACTAGACCAAATTAATGTGTGAGGCATTAGCAAGAAGAGAAGCAATCTTTGTAGAGGATTAAAGGGCTAGTTCATATAGCGTGGGTTCCCCAGTCACCTGGAGAACAATGTAAGATACTACCTCTACTTACATTTCCTCCCCCTGCTGAATGTTTGATGTTATCTCTTGAACCACATCTGGAGTGTACATCGCTAAAATCAATCTTCTTGCTTAAAATCCTAACCTAAAAGGAATTGGAGGTTATCTTACTATTAAGCATATTCTTTGGTTTTCATGATCCTGAAAATCAGGGTGCAAAACTACACTGTAAGGTCTGGCTTTGCACGATTGCAGACTAACCAACCAGCATTTTGTACAAATCTACTATCTTCCTCAAACATGGTCCATATAGCTATGTATACTGTGTGCATCTCAAAATCAGTTGCTGGAATACGTTAACAAAGAATAATCACATTAATTAATGAACAACATATCAATATATTATTGCCATTTATCATAAAATGTCACGATACAATAATAATGGGTAGCTTTATGTCATGTTTTTATATGAATAAACATGTATGGAAGATGGAACACAAAGCACACTCAAAGTAAGCCCAGAAGGCAGAAAGATTTGTTCATGAAAATTTCAGGTACAAAAGTGTGCAACAGTATCAAAATGAAGAGTCAGAAGAAGACACCACAAAGGATGATTCCCTGAATAACAGATTGTTCCCATGCGAGCTGCATGAGGAATGCTGCTTTGGTGGGAAAACATCAGGATGTGCCACAAAAATTCCCAAAGATTGCCTGCCCAATCTTGTGGGACAATGTAAAAATCTTGGGGATTGTTATCCTTGATTTTATGTGGGCATCTGTTTATGTTTTATAAAACATTGAAGAACTGGATGTGCTCCACAACACAGGGGTCAGAGTTTAGATGACAGTTATGATGCTTTTATTAATTCTGTTTGGATTTACCCTCAACAACCTCTCTAGATTTTACTCTTTGTTAATACCATTTTATATTGTTTGTATGTATTAACTGCCTAGGGTCATATTTGTGAGATCGGTGGCCATACTTAACCTATGATCATTCATTCAGCGACTGTTTGAAGTTACAACAGCACTGAATTAATGGTAGTTGCAACTGGTCCTCAGAGTACTAGCCATCCCAGCAGCTCCCATCACATGATCACAATCTGGGTGCTTGGCAACTCGAATGCCCTGATCACCAGTTGCCAAATGCCCCACAGTTACATGATTGCCATTTTAAACCTTCCATGTTGGTTTCTGATGAAAGTCAAAGGGTAAGCCAGCAGAGAAGATTGCAAATCACTGGAGTAAATCTGTCCCACCCATGCACCCACCTCAGCCCCTCTGTACTTGCACTGCATATTCCCTCACATCTACCTCATACCCCTGTGCATCCTTTTCTCACCCATGTGGCACTTCTCATGCCCTCTCCCCAATCTGCACAGAGCTACTCATGCACTCTCCATGACTCATGCCTCCCAGATCTCCCTGCACACCCTCCCTGATCTGCACAACACCTCCCACGCATTCCAATACACCCTCCCTCATCTGCATGGCACCTCTTGCACATTCTCCCAACCCACACAGTGCCTCCTCTTGCATACCCTCCCTAATGTTGTGAGGAGCCTCTTGCATAGCCTTGCATAACTTCCCCAATCCACACAATGTCTCTTCCACACCCTTCATACCCTTCTGCAACCACCGTGATCCCCACAACTGCCTGTGGACCTGGGATTTGTAAGTTCCTGCCCACTTCCCCAGTAACTTTGGTTGTGGGAAGCAAGCAGGAGTGGCCTCACATAATGACCACAGAATTCAGTTAATGAAGCAATTGGTATTGCAGGAATTTCCATTGCAGAACAATGCGGTTACATTTTATGATCACGTCACTTACCAATGAAAATTGCAGTCTCAAGAACAGTCTGCAGATTCTAAACTGTTATAATGGGACAAGACAAAAAATGGCTGAACCCCAAAATGGTGCCTGAGATCTGGCAAGTAGAATCGAATTATATTCTATAATTTAGGGATATTTATATATTAAACACTTCTTCTTTAACTTCTTTTTTGAGTGGCGAACACATTTACTCTAGAACAGTGATGGCTAATCTTTTTCTTTGTTTGTCAAAAGCACAAGCACACGCTTGTGATAGCGCATGTGCATGCCAGCACCCATAATGCAATGTGTGCCACCCCTCCATGTGTGCACGCCCCCCTATGCATGCGCACACAATCCCCGTGCATGCACGTGAGGGGTGGCATTCAAAAATTTTAGCAACCTGCACCACAGCGGGAGGGGGGGCGTTTTCACCCTCCCCAGGCTCTGGAGGCCCTCCAGAGGCCAGAAAGGGGCCCATTTCTGGACTTCCGGTAGGCCTGTTTTTCGCCCTCCCCAGGCTCTGAAAGCTTTCCTTGAGCCTCTGGGAGGGCGGAAGTGGGCCCCCCTGGGCTCTGGAGGCCTTCTGGAGGCCAGAAAGGGGCCCATTTCCGGACTTTTGGTAGGGCCATTTTTCACCCTCCCCAGGCTCTGGAAGCCTTTTCCAAGCCTCTGGTGGGCAAAAACGGCCTCTCCTGGACTCCAGGGCCTCTCCAGAGGCCAGAAATGGGGCCATTTCCGTACTTCTGGAACATGCACGCCACTTCCCCCCGTGCTCCCCCACTCATGCATGCACGCATGCCCCCCATGCATGCGTTTGCATATCCCGCATGCTCCCCGCCCCCTGCACATCCCAAAAATCAGTTGGCCGGTGGGAGGTGCATGCGCATATGCGCAATGGAGCTCAGTTGGGCAACCACTCGCGTGCCCACAGAGAGGGCTCTGCGTGCCAGCTGTGGCACCCATGCCATAGGTTCGCCATCACGGCACTAAACCAATCCTTTGAATATTCCACATCATATTCTCACATACACAATTCCCGCCAATCTGCATTTTATCTGCACTACAAAAAAAAATCATTTCAGCAAATTAACTGAAACCTATCCCAACCAACCAAGAAGTACATGTAGAAAAGAAAGATGAAAAATTTGGATTGATTTTCACAGGGTTGAATATTGTTGAAAATCTGTTGAGAGGTTGTAAACCTCCGCACATACAAAGAATATTTCTAAACTCTGAATGTCCTTGAGTTCTGAAGGAGAGTGGGAAAATAATAAGAATAGGAGTATGCTTAGCTGCCTACAGGAAATCTTTGGAAGGCACTGTTTCTGTGAAAGGAAGCTAACAAAGTGCTGACCAAAGAGGTATCTGAACTGTACCTGAGGAACAAATAAAGAATTGGGGAGGGGGGGGGAACTAATAAAATAAGGCAGCAGAGATTAAGATTATGAAAAAAGGCTGCAGTTCATTAGATCTATGCTCTGCATGCAAATTGGGCCAGATTTAATCCCTTGGGCTACTGAATTATGTAGAGAATAACTTTTGTCTGATCTTTTGGAGCATTGTTGGCATCTGACTGATTTCCTTGTTAAGGGAACAGATTAAAGCAGCCACAGAACTGAGTGTTGCCTGCCAGATGACCAAGAAAAGACACATTTCAGTCAAGGCATTCTGGACAGATGCAGCATGAATGCCCACTTGAACTCTGAATCACACTTTGCTCTGAAAATCCAGCTCTCTGCTGAGTCCTAATGCTGAGGTCGGTGGACCTCTGTGACTCTAGAACACAGCAGTTTTATATGCTCCAGTTTCCTGGGAGGCCCAAGCACTCCAGACAGGCAGGAAGCCACTTGAAGATTTTAAAAGTTTTATGAACTTCTCAGAGTCACTGGGAGTCAGGCAATGTTCAAACTGACTTATTCACTAACTCAATGAATGAATGAATGAATGAATGAATGAATGAATGAATGAATGAATGAATGAATGAATGAATGGATCAACCCAAGGTCAAATTAGCAGGTGTATTATTTTGAAGAGATTATCAAACAAAGGTAACGTGTTAAGATATGATAGAAAACTGCAGAAGAAATGGTTGCAACAACTAGGTAATAAATGGAATACTGTATGACCCAGATTTTTGGCTAGAATGGGAAGAGGATATTGGAAGAATCTTCCCTTCTGAAGAATAACCTGAAGCAAAAACATTTACCATTTTAAAGTAGGCTTATATAATATATATATTCCCAGATGACAAAGACAGAATAACAAAATTTCTAATATGTATTCTCTAAAATAAAATGCAAAAATATAGTCATAATTCAGAAGACCATGGGATAAATGGGCAGGGAACAATGATTACATCTGCTCTATATAATGGATCCATAGGATTCTGAGTTATGACAGTTTTTTACCGATAACTCTTGCATTTAAGTTGTTTCATTTGATCAAAGCCTGACACTAGCAAATTCTGGCACCTTTTCTTTCAGAAGGATCAAACAAAAGTTTACTGGAATGCCCAAGAAAAATAATTTCTAGTTCCAAACTTTATGCAATGATATTCTTTCAGAATTTTTATTTTAAAAACCTTGAGGATTCTATGCATTAAACATTTGGTTTAGATCTGGCTCCAGTAGGAAAGGATATTAATATTGGTTATGTTTGCCATCTTGAATTTTTTTAAAAAATAATAAAGATAGGATAAAAACAAACAAACAAATAAGCAAATCATTTGGAAGTTTATAAAACAACTGGCTGCCCTATCCTTGAAGTGACAAATAAGCACTTCTGAGAATAGCAATTGAGAAAAAGTATTTATCTGGAAATAGCTTTCCAAGCTTTATGATTTTCCTCAGGGTGATTTTGCAGCTCTTCAGATCCTTACTCCATCCATTTCCCAAGAATATATACAAGAATATTCTGAGTTGTCCTTACTATTTTAGATTTATGTTGACACCTACAATAATGCCCATTATCTACATTTTTTGAGAAACTAGATCCTGTAGAGACTATCAACCAATCTCCAAACTGAGACAAGTGTTTAATACTCTTAAACCCATAGATATTATTAATTACAATAGTTTGAACTGTGAATTTACAAAAATGCCATAATCCCTACTATGCAAACAAAACAATAACACATTGCTAGTGTTTTTTTCCTAGCGATTATAATTTACTTTTCCCTATATATGTCTGGTGCTTTGAAAATCCATCCATCCATTTATCTGGCCATACATACAGTATATACATATATTTAAAATCCCTTCTGAGGAATAATGCCAAAGAAATACTGAAGAAATATGTAAACAAAAACCCTGAATATGGCATCTCCTTTG